GCCCTGCCACGGGCGAGTCCGCGCTGGCCCCTCCTTCCGGGGCCTTCCTCTACTGCTGACTTCCTGATCACCGGTCAAGATCTAAACAACCGGTCTTCCCAAATCCCCTAACTTCGAAAGGCAGTGGTAGCATTGATGTTTGTTTGGGGTCCTTTCCCTCTCAGTCGCAGCTCCTGTGTAGATGCCAACCCCACTCACACCCTCAACCTTGTCCAGTACAGACTTTTCCCAAGAGTGTCCCGTGTCCAGCCCAGTGAATCTAGAGCTTCACTGACTTGGGCACGTGGTGGTGTTAGAAGCAAGAAGAGTGTTCACCGACCCCAGTAAGAACCTGGGAACTATTCCCTATTTGCTAGGGAAGTTGAAGACTGTTAGTTGAAAAAAACAGCAAGAGAGGGTGAGGGTGTGCAAACAAGTATGATGTGTCAAAAAGGAAGCTAAGGAGGAAACACCTGCTGCCCACGGTTGGTAAGAGCCGGTGTGCCGTTTCAATTCTTTCTTTCTCTTTTCTTTCTCCTTCCTTCCTTCCTTCCTTCCTTCCTTCCTTCCTTCCTTCCTTCCTTCCTTCCTTCCTCCCTTTCTTTCGTGTGTGTGTGTGTGTGTGCGCGCGCACACACGCCCCTTTATGGGTGGGGAAACCAAAGTTAGGCCTGTGCACAAAACCTAAGTCCTAAGGAGGGAAAGAATCAATCACAGGCTGTTGTAGTAACCCTAAAAGTGAATGGGGGAGTGTCATGGAAACTCCTGGATCTGTATTTCTTTGTATTTTAAAGCAAAAGAAATATGGAGGGGCCTGGGAGGGACAAGGAGACTCATCAGGACCCAGCTGAACAGAGTACTCTGCAAGGAATACCTCAACCAAGCCTCAAATAGGCTGAGAGGGGGAGGAAAGATGAAGACCAGGAGTCTCAGGGCCTGACTTGGATGTCAACAGTGGTCCAGAGCACAGGCTATTTCTGAGGTCTGGGCCCTGCATAATTAGCAACTCAGAGCAAGCCACATGTCACTGGCTGGACCATTTTGGAATCAGAGCTGTCTGGGGATCCCTACTGTCCATTCATGTTGGTACCACAGCCCCACTCCCTCCACATCCTGCTGTGCTTGACCCTTTGTACAGGCCTTGGCTCCCGCCACCCTTGGATCTTTCACCCAAGAGGGGAGCAGAAAACCACAGGCTGCTTAGCGGGTGACTTTTCAGAGGTCATTGCCAGTTGATTACTTGATACACTCAACCTCAGACAGACTGTCGTCCTACCTGCAGACTTCACTACTTGTTCCAGAGCCCAAGCTACCCAGGACTTTTAGGTATGTGTTTACTGATTATTCACTAACTTGTTCCTACAAGACACCAGGAATTATGCAGAAAGTGGGGAGTGTCTTAAGGGCCCTGTGGGCAGATGAGGAAGTAAAACAAAATTGTAAGAAGACACTAGGTACCGAGTTGTTCTTCCTTCCAAGCCTGTTTTCTTGACCTCTCTGTACACTCTTCCAGCATCTCTGTAGAGTACAGCACCAACCTGTTCTTCAGAGAAGTCTGAGACTTTGGGTATATGTAAGCTGTTAAGTCATAAGTCATAGCCAGATTTTAGATTTAGGCATTCCAGCTTCCAAACCTGCTACCCACGTCCTTGAGAAGGACTGCTGAGATGGCTTTGTGCCTATGTGACAGGGACACAGTGGGGCAGGAGAGAAACCTTCACAGCAGCAGTTGGAATCCTGCCCTGAAGTAGAAAGGGCTGACACATGAGTGAGGAGGACTGTGTGTGGGTGTGGTATGTGTATGCCCACCATTTCCAGTTTAGCTGACTGCACAGACTGTGACAGGAAGCTCAAGCCTACCCATGTAAGAGAATGCCTCTGTTTAGATACTTTAGGCCTCTTTTTACTTATATAAAAAGGAAGTAAAGGACTTAATAGCCTTCACACTCAGTGCCAAAGTGTGAGAAAAATGACCAAGTTCCCTGGAAGTATAAGAAGTTGGGAAACTGGTCCGTAGATATCCAAAATATAAGGAGCGCAAATCACCATCCTGGCTAAAATTCATACATTGTGAGTACTGAAGATGGTGAAGACTGAGCAGCCCAGGCCGTGTCAGACTGATTTGCCTGCCAAAGCAGTTAGACAGGAGGCAGGTCAGAACACACTAACTCCCTACCACGTCCATCTCTGAAGCAATTTGATTAAATCTAAGGCTCACAAAATGATCCCCAAATGCACAAAGGCTAACACCCACTCTGAAAAAAGGGTATAGCATAGAATTGGGATTGGGTCAATTTTTAAACAGGAGCAATAAACAGCATTTGGTCTAAGTAACAAGAACGTATCAGTACTGAGGCCTTGGGCTCTACAGAGGTTACATTGGAGAAGGTAAGAAATGGGAGCTCAGTGTCTAGACTCTGGGGATGAACCTGGGATCAGATTATGTGCAAATGGAAAAACAGGAAGATCTAGTCACAGGATAACACAGAATTAAGAGGTAATATGCTTGCCTGCCTACTCTACCACTACCGAAAAAGAACTAACAAAGAAAGTAAAAACTTAAGGAAATTGTTCCTCACAAACTACAACTTAGATACCTGAAAGTGTTTACAGTTTAGAAAGGATTCATGCTCTGAATTTTTGAAGAGATCTTGGCGTAAAGCCGAAAGAGGAAGCAAAACCAAAGTGTTAAACTAGTGTTTTAAGTTTCCTTTTTCATTCCTCCTAACATGTCTGTCCCAAACCACATAGTGATACAGAAAGAAATTCAAGCTTATTAACAGTAGGTCACTAAGCAATGCCTCTGAAACCCTTCGTTAGCTACCTGCACTTCCTTTTAGAATAAAGTAAGGTCTAAATAAATTCAGTTTAAAATCCCCACACAATGTGTGATTAAATTTATCACCAGTCCTGGCGAACAGCCTAACATGCTTGAGTGTGCTACCCTAGCAATCTGCTGACCCTGTGAGAAGGCTTGAAAGAAATATCTGACAGAAGAGTCACAGGAGATGGGAGAGCTGGGCTCTGGCAGGTGAAAGACTCTATCTAGTTCATGTTAAAGAGGAGAGAACTTACCAGAAAGGCTGTCAGGACACGGAGTTTCTCTCTCTGGCTGGCTGATCCTAAAGGCAACTCAGCACTCGACTGCACAAGTACTATCAGCATATGCCACACCCCTTTGGTGAGCTCTTCCTGCTCAGGGCTTCTATAGCTCCTCCTCAAACTAGAAAAGCAATCCCCACACTCTTCCTTAAAGAGGGAAAGCAGATAACAGACCTGACACTTTGAATGGCAAACGTACAATCAATGCAACACACCTCAATAGTTGGGGTGCTTTAGGCACTCACAGGCCAGGAGGGACTCCTCAGTTGGATGAGGAAGTCTTCTAGAACATACCATGCCCTACAGGTGGCTCAGGAGGCACTGCCATAAGAAATCATGATCCCCCATACATAAGCAAAGACTGGCAACCGTGCATTTATTGAGTGGATGAAGGGAAGGTGATACATCCAACTATGATTCATATGTAGAAGCCTGGTCTCTAAGGGGTCCAGACAAGCTTCAGGCAAGAGAAAGAGCTCAGAGCCAGAAGACTTACTCAGGACAGACTTCCCAAGCCTTCAGGCCACTGAGGAAAGACAGGGACTCCTATGACAAGAACAAGAGTTGTCTTCAGTGACTTCGATGTCCCTCTGTAATTGACTTACAGGCTCAATAAGTCTAGCTAGCCCTGGCCAGCACACGCTGCCTCAAATTCATACGCCGAGGCCCTTCCTTTTTGCTGCTGACATCATCACTAGGAAAAACAGGCACCTTGGTATAAGTAAACTGAACTTTAAAAAACTTTCAAGGAAGGGAACAGTACCAAGACAACTAAGAACAAACTTGCTTGGGTTATTAACACCCTATAGAGAAATAAAAGCCCAAGAGATGTCACTTTGGAGACAGTTGTCACCTGAGAGCAGACTGAGATATGACAGAGTAGAAAAGATTCAGTACCCACTCCAAGAAATACAGTTCTGTCTTCTCACTAGCTCATTAGACTTAAAATTTCTATCCCCAAAGCTGACAGGATCCCTCAATTTAAGTTTTCCTAAAACTGTCCACCTTTATATAACATGATGAAACAATTGCCAGGCAGGCCTTTAATCAGTATGTCTGCTACGGCTCTAACCAGCATGTTCATTCAATAAATGAACAAACTTTCATCCAGGGCTTTCCTATGTGTTACAATAAACGAGAAATCAAGTCAAGTCAATGTTGCCATTTATATGTACAAGGCCCAGGGTACTTTCAAAATGCAAAATTATTCCGTTTGTTCCTAGTAGCAACCTAACTGAAATATCTTCTGGTGTGGAGAGAACAGCACAGAGGTAATTATCATATCTCAAGTTGCACATTGACCAGGAAAGTCTGAGCTAGACCACAGATTTTACTGTTCCCCAAACTCAATTTATGTTTTTGTTCTTTCCATGAGATTTCATGACCTAAGCTTCCTTACTGGGGAAGAAGGAAGAGAGAACATTTAGTAAATTATCTAACCATTTCCTGTCCTCCAGCTCCCCTCCCCACCTCCCTTGAAGTCTTATTCTGTTAATAGATTCCCAAAACAGAGCAGTCTGCATAGGCCAGAGTAATCCACTTCAGCCTTAGCCCAGACTGATTTGAAATCCTATTATCTCACTGGAGGAACGGCTTTTAAAGGTAGCTAATCCAACAGCCCCTCTAGAAGCCTGATTTCCTTCTAGGCTCTCCTTGACCTAACCTCGCCTACCTAAACTCACAATCCTTTACCAGCTCTTCACTGTAGCCTCAGTAAGGAACAGGGAAGGAACAATTCTGCCCCCTTGAAAGAGTGAAATAGAGGTGATGCTTCCTGTGCACCATCAGGATAAGGGTTCTTTCTCAGGAGGACAAGGGAGGTGCCATGACTTCCGACATGGCTGGATTCCCAGACCGTTCTCATTCACATTTCCTGTACAACAACAAGGCACTTAGTGAGAAAGTAACAGGAACCTTACCTTTCTTTTCTTCTCTCTGTTGCTTCTCTGGAGATCACCAGCACCCCCCCCCAAAACTTCATTTCCCAAACTGAGAATCAGAACCACCCAAAGTACAGCTTCTCTCCACTGATCCAGGTCCAAAGTCCATGGCCCCGTGGACCCTGAGGGGGAGGAGTCGGGGGGGGAAGGGGTGTGTCCGGGCCCCTCCCCCCCCACTGTTGCTTTCAGTGTCCCTCCCAGGCGCGTGTTACATCCCTTCATCCAGCTGGCTTTTAAAGCTCAGAGGCTAGTGGTAGACAGATTCCAGGGATTATGCCATCTCTTGCTCAGACAAGAGAAATCATCCACTGGTCCACTTGTATTCTGCTGGGGTTCAGGAGAAGAAGCAGGCTTTAACACCAACATGTCCCAGGAGGCTGATTTCTGTGTGAATCTGTGGAACATTTAAACAGTATGACACTCTTATCTAATACATGCCCAAATGGATTTCTAAGAGTTGCATAGTTACCACACTCCTTTACCATGTTCAGTCAACAAACTCTCTTAACTACTCCACACAATTTGTACAAAAAGTACATTCTTCATGCACACACTGTATCCCCATCATTTTGAGCATATGTGTTTATATGTGTTTGTGTCATGCCTATTCTCAGTGCAGAAATGTTACCAAAAGTACTTACTGTCAGTATGGGAAGACTGTCTTCTAAAAAAATACAGGAAATAGGATCTACTGTTCTCTAAAACACGACTTACTAATCCTCTCTCATGCTTTTCTGGGAGTTCAGTGTTCTAATCTCCTACCTCCTGTCAACTGGACTAAACCCAGACCTAGCCTCTGGCATCTTTCACAGGCATACCCTGCAACTCTCACCTCCCCCACTGTTTGCAAAACTATGCCCAGGATGTAATTCCCAATTTCTTTCAAACTCCTTCACGGGGCCACTCTCCTGGAATATTTGAGGCCTGTGTCCTGCTTGTAGTAGCCCCAATTTCTCAGTTTGGGAGCCCTCCCTGTTGACCTATCCCCTGTTAGTACACACACACACACACACACACACACACACACACACACACACACACACACACACGCACCCCTCTTCCTGTAGGGGCGTGGCCGACACATGACACCCCCCCCCCAGAACTTAACTCCTCCCACCCTTCCTCTTCCGAACCCCGCGCTCAGCGCTCAGCGTTCTCACGGCACAGTGACACTGAGACCCTCCCTGTACTCAGAACCCTCCCTTCCGCTGTGCCTAGGACTCAGTCCCTCACAGCACGGGCTGCTTACCTGGGCCCCGCCCATCGGTCCGGGCTGGGAGCCTCGGCCCTCCCGGCTCCAGATCCAGGCCGGGGCCCGGTCCCAGCCGCCCGCAGGCCCCACCCCCTCGACCCCCTGCGGCCCGGCCCTCCCCCTCGCGCTCCTTTTCCCCTCCCACCAGACACCGCAGCCACTTCCGCCTGTCCTCCGGAAGTAGGTCCTGGGCAACCGCTGGCTCCCCATTCCTTCCCCCCTCCCCCATCACTGACGCCGGCATGGGCGCACGGGAGATGGATTTGCAGACTTAGGCCAGTTCTACAATGTTCACGAGGTGGAAGACCGGCGTTGCAGAAGGCCCCTGTGAAGATGTAGCCGGGGGCTCAGGGCGGGAGCAGTACACCGAGGGGCGGGGGGGCGGGGCGGAGGCTGAGGCCTAGAGCGGGAGCGTGCGTCACTCAGTGCGGCGCGGAAAGTAGCGCGCTTGCGCTGCCGGTCCTCCGACCGGTCGCTCGCTTTGACGCTCCTACTGTCAGAGGGGGCAGGAACTAGGGCAGGAGGTGGAGGCGGAACCTCCGTAGGCTGCCCTGCCTCTATCCCAACGCCAGAAGGTCGCCTAGCAACTGCCTGGATGAAGTAGCTTCTGAGGTCACGGACCCTTTTAGGCATTCTTTATGCTAACAGCCAGTAATCGACGAAGCCTGTTATAACAAACCAGTTACTGAACTGAGCTCCCTGAGTAGCAGTGCCATAAAAAGTTTTATTTCATTCATCACTCTTTTCCACTGCATCGGTAGATGAGGTAGGACCTTTCTAAAAGGATGGAGAGCGCCCGGTTACTGTTTACTGAACATGAACTGTGCTGAGCTCTTTATAACTAAACTAGTAACTGAATATTCACAGGTCAGAACCTCACATATGGTCTCTAGAGCCACAGAGGTTTAACGGAGGTTGCAGAGATGTTAGAGCTGACTCAAATCTTACAGGGTAACTGACCGGATCTGTCGCGCTTGGTCACATGATCATGCCTCTAACAAGTGCCACCTGACTTAAAAAAATAATAAAAAAATAAAACAGAGGGAACAGCAGCTAAGAATGCCTGCTACTCTTACAGAAGTCCTGAATTCGGCTATCCACACCAACATGGCTGTTTAAAATCATCTATGACTCCAGTTTTTGAGGATCTCGTACCCTTTTCTGCCTTTGGCCACCAGGCATGTATGCAATACATTTCTATGCACTCAGACAAAACATTCACTCACATAAAAATCTATTAAAAACTACACTCAGAAGCACTAGACTTAGAAGACCAAATTACCCTGGAAACATAATACCTTTTACATCTAGTGATTCTGGTTTTTATTTTATTCGAGTTCTGCCAGGAACAAGCTATGGTACTTGGAAAAGTTGCTAGAACTTTCTGTACCTCAATTGTCTCATAACTACACTTGGAATAATGAAAGTCCTTCACCTTGCTTAATTAGTGTGACCATTGAATGCATAAGTGCTTAGAACTTCCCAGTCTGCGTACTAAGGGCTCATAATATCTGTAACCATTCTTATGGTTTATTCATAAACATTTCCATGTAGTAATTTTGTTTTGTTTTGCTTTTTGAAATAGGGTCTCTCTGTGTAGTTTTGCTGTCCAGGAGCTCACTGTTTAAGCCAGGCTGTCCTCAAACTCAAGATGATCCTTTCTCTTCTGTGATCAAAGGTGTGTGCTGTCATGCCTGGCCTCCGTTTAATAATCTGGACTGTTTTTAGAATATCTTTTACTTATCAGATAAGCACCATTTTCTAAAATCATTCCCTTCAGCAATTCCAGGTGGTGTTCTAGAAGACTAAATTGTCCCCTATTCTTTTTTCCTGTTCTTTGCAGCTTTTTAAAAATGTTAATTTAGCTTATGCTTCCACTTCAAATGTAAAACAACAGAGGATGGGACAAACCTAGACATTATAAGAGCTAAGGTGTAAAGACAGAGACTTCATAGACGTTATGAAAACTCTGAGTAAAATCAGAATATTACGCAACATCTTGGGAATTTCACCCCTTGCATAGGAGTGAGGCTATGTAAGTGCACTTAGAAAGTGAGACCCCTTTTGCCTCATTTTACCATGAAAGGTCTATTTAGTCTTTTGTGTCGTACCCTGACTTATTTAATCCTTGAATTGTGATTTTAATTTATTTTTCTTTGGACATTTCTTCCTAGTTAAATTATGTACTTCTTAAGAGTAGATATCCTATGTACCTTAAAGCCCTCATCCTTATATTTGTTCAATTTAATGAATATTTTACTGGCAGGCTCAGATGCTGTCATCTTTCTTCATGGGCTCAACAGATTAGGTTTCCCCTTCACCAAGATAGGATACAGAAACCTATCCTTTACCTTGCCAGAAACTCTCATAGAGAACCGATGGAACACGAGTGTGAAGATACTTTTAAAACTGGAGCTTATACATAGCTATAGTACTTGGGAGTTCACAGACAGTAATCAGAAGTGCCCGGGTACTGTGTACACTGAGGCTTTGGAGGGGACACTTGCAATGCTTTTCTCATTTGCAAACAGAGAGAGAGACTTGAGCATTTGCTATCTGTTGTCACTGATCTGGCTTCTGTTCTTGGAGTTCTTAAAATATGACTGATATAATAGAGAAAGCCAAGATTTTCTTAAACACATTTCTTTGCCCATATAAGTTCTGGCTATTCCATGCCTGTTTAAGTGTGAATTTGCATTTGGTCTTTCTATGTTTCCTTAGGCTGGCCCAAATTGGAGTTGCCCTAATGATATACAGTGAATAACTGAAGTCTTGACTTAGGACACTGACTTTTCTAATACTGACTTTCTACGTGTGGGAGAATTTTATAGAAGGGAGAAGGGAGAAAAAGGAATGAACACCAACAGAAATAGACACATTTTACCTTCAGGACATTTTAGGTCATGTGAAGAGGGGAAACTTATTCTCAGAAATTGACAAATTAAAAATGTAAAAAGAGGTAATATGAAGAAGTATGTGTTTATTAAGTTGTGTTTTTTTTTTCCAAGACAGGGTTTTTCTGTGTAGCCCTGGCTGTCTTGGAGCTCACTCTGTAGACCAGGCTGGCCTCGAACTCAGAAATCTGCCTGCCTCTGCCTCCCAAGTGCTGGGATTAAAGGCGTGCACCACCACCACCCAGCATTTCTTAAGTTGTAAGCTAGTTCTGATTCTTAAATTCAAAATCTTGGCTGTGATCCTTAGTCCGGTGAGCAGTACATCATTTGCCCAGATGGAATCACTTCTCTCTGCTTCTCTAAAACCTCTGAGATTTGGAGAAAACAATAGCAACTCATAACCTTCTTCATCTGTTTTGAAATATTTTTAAAAGCCAAAATAATCATTTTTAATTGTTGAAAATATTTACATAATTATTGTCTTAAGTAATAGTCCTTATTAAGCATATAAAGAAATACATTTGCTAATCTTCCCCAGGACAATCTCTGGTCTTTGCTATGTGTATGATACATTCTTTTCTATCTTTACTTTGAGACAAAAATGTTGTTAACCATATCAGCCCTCTCAGAGCAAACACTAAGCTCCTTCAGAACAGTAGAAAAACATAAGTTAAAAATGGGTCAGCAGTCCAGATTGTGAGGTGGAAAAACCACAGGCTACATAACCGTTCAATCTACCACGGTGCCTGCCACCTTACAATGGTCTCACTGATATGTGACTGTGTGTGTGTGTGTGTGTGTGTGTGTGTGTGTGTACTGATTTATTCCTAGAAACTGTTAAAGAGCTCACTTTTTCAGATGATTGGCCTTATCTAGCTTCCTTGCTTGCATTCTGACATGCTTTTTGAGTGGTTGAAAAACATGTGGGCCTTCAGTAGAGAATTGAGTAATAGATAAAATGGGCCAGAGCTCTTCAGCTATAACTGGAGGGGAATATCCCTGAGGGTTGGGGTGTTGCTTTCCTTTTCTTGGGTTCGTTAATATTGGAACCCAAGCTAATATTAGCATAGCTTCATCTCAGGGAAGAGACTGTTGGCCTGAGGCATTCAAACACTTTTGACCCAGCTCCTTTCAGCCTTGGATACTGCCTCTCCATTTCCTGAAGTTAGGAGACTTTATTACCAATTTAAATGCCATTCTCCTAGAAACTTCATAGTGTAGTTGACACTTTTTTTTTTTGCTTGTATTGAAATTCACTCTGCTCTCATCACTTTCTGCATTTCTCAGATCCACAATACCCACAGTAATACCCAGAAAAGACTTGGAAAACTGAGCAGCATTTGAACTCAAGGCTGCAGGAACTAGGGCACACTTATGCTCTTTGCCATAGCTCCTCCAGTGCAGGCTAGACTTCTCCTCCCCCACATTCCCTTACTTTTTCCACACATATAAAACTGAAGCAGTCATGGAAGAAACTTGGGTTCTGGTGATGCACTGTGTAGAAATCTTCCCAGGACAAGACTGTGGAATCAAAGCTAAGAAAGAGGAGTAGAAAGACAAAAGAATCTAGATACCAGGGAAGAAGCAGAACTTGAAGGTAAAATATGAGTGAGTTTTACTGCCTTCAGGGGAAAAAGGGAGACAAAATTACTAGAGAATAGAATGCAGTCAAGAATACATTATAAAATTGGTCGCACATTGTAGAAATCTGAACCAAGAGGGCCAAACTTGTGAAATAATGGAAAATACAAAATAAGCATTCCAAGAACAAAACATCATGCATCATCCTTCCCTTAAAAAGTAAGAAACTGTGGAACAGCGGGAGTCTCCTGTGCAGGGGGAGCTATGGCAAAGGTAAGA